GAATTCAATTAAAAGTTAATTATATATATATATATTTTTTTGAAGATGAATGTTTACAAGACAGTTCGTCAACCCCAGTCCGTTGTTGGTCGGTTAAAGCGAATCACGTGCCCTCCCATATATTGCCAGTGTATTTATTGTGCACTGACGACAGTTTTTTTAATACGTTTATAAATAAGGTCATGAGTATGACGAGCCCAGGCTAATTTGCATTTTACCGGTACGGTTTATTTACGTCTCATCGTCCGGCCTGACAGAGGCCCAAAAAATACAACCGTTTTAAGTATCAACTTCAAGCAAACCAAGTCTCGCGAGATTATTGGCCGCACGTGATATTTTTACACTATAAAGAGACCTTTTCACGCCACAATCGTCCCACAAGGTTTACCGCAGTTAAACCGTTATGCAGACGCAAAAAGAGAGCGGCTCGTATTATATTTTTTTATAAACACGCCAAATAAAAAGTAACCCCGTCGCCCCAGTGTTGCGAAAGGCAGTCGTTTTTTCTACAGCCGATTCACAGGGGAAACGCGCGAAACCAAACACAGATTTCGATTTCTTCGATGTCCCTTTAAAATGTCGGTCTGTCTTTTTGTCGCTTTATTTCTAATAGATTAAAAGGCTGTCAATGTTAAAACCTATGAGATAATATTAATAAGTATAGAAGCTGTTGTAGATTTCATATCAAATAGCGTTTCCCTTTTGACCGCTCTTTCAGTGACCGAAGATAATAACACATTTTTTATTAAAACTACCAGAGAACCTGTGTATTCGATGGGAAATAAAAGGAATTTATCGAGCACGGAAATCTATAATAATACACGGTAAACATATTTTGTAATTATTTTAATTTAAAAACATATCAATGTTTGTTTTAGCTTGAGAAAATCGAATATTCGTTTTTCATTCTTTGTTAAAGTGCGGGCAATGCACAATATGTAAAATCATTAGTTGAACGGTAAAAGTAACTATGAGAATAGTGACGAATGTATTAGTACATTTTACACATTACACATTTCATGGTAATGCCGAGACTTTTTCTGACGTTCGGAAGTTGTTAAAAAAATCATTTATTTACCGAATGAAAAACGGCGTTGAAGAATAAACAAAGGCATAAGCTCTTCGGCGACTGTAGTTTCATTATTTGCTCACTTATATTGCCAATTCGGTTTTTTATTGGGAAAAAAATTCTGCGGTATTTGACACTGTCGGATAAGAGCTTTTAATTTAAGTATCCGCCAACAACAAACCACACAGAGGACGACGAATAAGGTTTTACGCATTAACGCCACGAGACACAATGTTTGATGACTTATTATAGTTGTCAGTATTAATGACTGGCAAGACCTGTAATTGATTGCATGGCTTTTGAACGATACCGTTTTAGCCTTTGTTGGTCAAAACAGAAATTCAAAAATGACACCCAACAAAACGGTACGTTTCATTTTGCAGTATTGTGAAAGTGAACGTGGTATTTCATTGTTTTTAATGTTCTCGGAGATAAACAAACAACAACAACGACAATAAATAAATAAAACCTATGTGGTAAATTACAAACGGTATTTTGAACATCTTAGAGATAAAATGGTCGGTAAAAATAAGTATGGTAATCTTCTTTTGTAATAATACGTACTGCGGTTATTACGTTTCTGTAAAAAAAATAAACGGCGACGCATGAACAAACTAAAATAATGATAAAAACGTCAAAAGACATGTTTAAATGTTTATTGAATTAGATAGATAAATAGAAAAATAATGCAATATTTTTTATTGTACTTGCTATTAATCTGGCATTTAATTTCGTGTGCATTTTCAATGAAAAAATACTTGATTTTCATTTTAAGCCACTCGATAACATTATTTACAGTAAACACATAATAGGACAACTTAAATTAATCTACACCGATAATAGGTATATTATATTGAAGTTAAATTTATTAAATTAAGAAATCTGAGGAGGATATTATACATCAACTGAAATTTTTCATCTGTTCGACATGAATAACCAGTTTAAAACTGAACGCATTATAATCGATAATATTTAAATGGGCAGTTCTAAAAAAAAAGTGACGTTGACGTATAATGTAGAATTAAAACCTGCATTTGATCCAAACACTCATTGAAAATTGAATGATACTGGATAATGCTTATCGGAACAATGATCTAAGAAGCTGTCGATTTTCTGTTCGATTATTGTAAATAACTGAAACGGTCATGAGAGCAAATGGAACGAAATCATAATTAACAAAAAATTATTATCCACGGACGAACCATCGTATTAATCAATAGCAAATACATTTTGTACGGACCATGTAAATTAGCGGAATATTCAATTTTTTTACGCTCACCGTGTTCTATACACATTTTTGAATTATTATTTCGGAATAAGGTCACGTGGGCTAATCTACAATCGATATGACAGTAATGGCATTATTATGGCAACAGTTAATAGCGTCAGCACAGCCACAGGTAGGAAAAAAATTCACATTGATAGAAGCAATAATATTTATGACCATCGTAGTGGTGGCATTCACACGAGCGACCTGATATTGCCTAAACGTTTCGCCGTCTCAGAGAATTTCATAAAAAACCGTAGTAAATAAATGAAACCGTGAAATCAAACGACATAATTTATTGCTCCAGCTCGCTATTTACGGTACCGGTTCCCGGGACTAGTCTTCCATAAATGACACTGACAGCGGCATAAATTAAATTCAGTAAAACGATATCGGTGTTATCGGATCGATAAAAGCAAATTAATTACCCTATGCAAACGTTTCCATGGTTGTTTAAATAAAAATTAAGTCATATCTGTTTGACGACAACTTTAAATACAAACGGACTGTTGAGCTTCGAATATGTGAGGAAGGTAATTTTTTTTTAAGTAACTAGTGTGCCGATTGATTAAACATTAGAGAAAACGACAAATCAATGGATTCCTGTTCTCTACTACATTAACTGGTCGTTTCAATAGATGACTTCAAATGATACCGACGTATACAAATTGAACACTATCAATTATAAAGGTATAAATTTCAACACGTCCCCCCCCCCACTTCAATGGGGTGTATCCAATACAATTGCTACAACATTACATTCCCGACGCTTTGGATTAGTTCAAATTTATAAAAACTAACCGAAATCGTCGTATTTGAACATCCGTCACGTTATCATTTTATGTGTTTGATTACGAATTACAATTTAATTGTAACCCAAATCAAAAATCCTATAAATATATGTCCAAAATATTTCAAATATATGCACGTACATAAAAATTTGTCACTATTGAACTAATGATAAACAAATTCAAACTGCGAATTTATTTGAGTATGCAAAACAAAAAGAATTGACAAAAGTTCGATTGTAAATAATTACAATAATTGAAAACGGTACATGTTTGCTATAACAAATATACTTTAATCAAATATTTACTATACAATCGTATTTTATTAACTAATTAATAATAAATATAATACATTGGAATTGAATTAAATCGATTTTATTTCACATTAGTTTACGGTATTGACTATTAAGAAAACTGAATTTACATATTCGTCACGTAAAAAATTGTTTGACCGTACAATTATTATGTTGGTTACTGAATTTTATACTCATATAGAGTGTACGAAAATTTAGTTTTTTTTTACATTTCCTATATCGTTTATTTGTACTTAATTAAATACTATAGGGAATCGTACATTTGTTATTAGATAATAAAATATAAATAATAAATACAATAAATTAGTGAAACAGAATGAATCGTATAGAATATATTTATTTCTTGTTGAAGTAATTTCATTGAGTGAAAGTTAAGTCTAACAAAGTTCGCATATTATAATAATTTGGAACCTCAGGGCGGACCACGTTACTAAAAAGTTTCTCACCCGTGAGATAAAAAACTTATTCTGCATAGTAAAAGCTGTTATAAGTATCACTTTGCAGAACAATATAATTTTACTATGCGAATGTTTAAAATGACTATAGAGAAACATGCTATTAAAATGACATGCTAAAATAGTATTCTATTATAAAACGCGTCACAAATATAGGAGAAATAACTTAAAAGTTTAGAGGAATTATAATCGATATTGTAAAATAAAGTTGTTTAATTAAATATTTTACGCTCAAAGTTTTAGTATTCATTAGTTGATGTGTGTACTTGGGCGGTAGTTGGTAAGCGATGGATTTGCACTTAAATATAGAGTCGATACTTTTTGATCAACGGCACGTATCTATTAATTATTACAAAAGTTATTTTTTTATTTAACTGAGTTTGTTTTTACGGCGAAAAGCTTATTATAAAAGAAATTAAACAAAACTTTTTGGCTCCAATAAACGTTTTGTTTGTCGAGAGAGGAAACGCGTGATTTTAAAAAGTAATCGGAAGTCTGAAAGGCGGCGGTAGCAGTATTTCCGCCGGACTTAAGTCGTGAAAACTTTGGACATTAAGTCCGACACCTTACAGGGTATATTTGGGTAACGGGTATCTGGCTTACGATGATGATATTGAAAGTAATTTCGGAGATGTCTTTTCAGCGCGTCGCGGCAGATTGACTTTTTCTCGACGAGCCTTTTTCCTACAGTTGTGACGACTATTGGCCGTTACGAAGCGCAATCCGTTTTTTTGTTAATCTCAACAGACAGAAGCTCGATTGTAAAATAGCCGATTAACAGGATTTCAACGACAATAGGCGGCGGTTGTCTTTTTAAAAGCAAAACGGCTTTAACGCAACGCAGAAGAATAATATTTATGTTTACTATTCGCCATCGCTATTATTTATACGATATCTCTATATATTAATAAACGACAATTGTCGATTTTATAGCACATGATGCACATGTACACGATGTAACATATATGATATCACACGAATACTATGGTCACGATTAAAGCTGATTGCGAGCGCGGTCGTTAGTAATATTGATGTAATTTTTTTTTTATTGAAATTCGTAAACACACAGGGAACACCTAATAGTTATTACTGTGGTAATAATCGTACCTTTATCGTCGTATACGATCGATCCTCCTGCTGTTTTATCCTTACTAGCACCGCTTCCACTGTCTACCGAAGCCGCTGCGGTGGCCAACAGGCAACCGAAAACCAAAACTGTCACAAACATGTCACACTTTTTCGACGCGACACCAAAAACTAAATTAAAACCGTGTCAATTAAACGTGAAATGTTTTTTTTGACTCGTGAGCCGGTGACGGGATTGGTGTAAAAGGACTGTTTTAACGCCGGCACGCAGTCAAGTCATCGCTTGGATTGTAAACGGTTTCGTTAAAAAATCACACGAGGTCCGCCGAGACGACGTCAAAAAACGATCAGCCGCCAAAATAACAGTCCGACCGGTACGGGGTAAGTCGCATTTGTCTTGACGCACACGGTCCGCAACACCCGAAAATCACAAGTGTGGTCCGGACGTCGAGAGCACACCGTCGACAGATGAACACTACACCCGCGTCGCTGCCGTTGCCATCGTACCGCCTCCTCGTGGTCGCTTCATAGCCGCCGTCGGTGGCAGCAGCAAACAAGAGCTGACACTGGCGTATCACCGATAGGCGGGCGCTAGTTGCATTCGACAGTTGGCATTATAATAATAGTATTACTTGTTATACGCCACAATTACCTACGGCGTACCCCTCAGGTTCTAATTCTTTGAAGAAATTTACTTATAAAAGAATATTTCACATAAAAAATATGTACATTTTTTAAACAGTCTAACGTTTTAAGCAAACTTCAGTCAGACTGGAATGTACACGAGAAAACAAATATGTCAAATATTTAATTGAAACCGATATGATCATGTATTTTCTTTTANCGCCACAATTACCTACGGCGTACCCCTCAGGTTCTAATTCTTTGAAGAAATTTACTTTCAGTCAGACTGGAATGTACACGAGAAAACAAATATGTCAAATATTTAATTGAAACCGATATGATCATGTATTTTCTTTTATAGTTTATGATATCTGGCAAAGCTGACTGTTTTTTCTTCTAGCTACCAAATTGACATCAAGACTAATTAGGAAATCGGTTGGTGGTTTTTTTTAATGTTAAAAGGAGAATAATCCCATTTCGGTTGGCTGTATAAAATAACGAGAATAGAAAATTTTAATATAAGGAAAATCTTTTTAATGCTATTTAGATTGATATCGTTTATAATTTTGAACATTTTTTTTAATTAATGTTGTTTATATGTTTACTTACCTCTTTTGTTATATCGATAACTTTATTCGCTTGAAATCATGTTACTTATCCACATAAAACTATTTAAATCGTTACCGACCAAAACTAATAACATATTGAGATGTTTATCACATTTTTTGAGTGACAAATATTCAATAAAACAGAGTTTTTATCAAATCATTGTTCAAACAACCCAAAAGTACTTTTAAAAGCGTATCACTAAAGGTAAATTTACAAGTCAATAAAGTATACATAATACTCAATAAAGTTTATAACGTATGCACCAACAGTTTTTGTTAGAACATCTTTTTAATTTTTATATTGAAGCAACGCAAGTTTATATACATTGTTGTTTATTAGACCACTTCGGATTTTTTTGAACATCTGCAGTAGATTTTATAATAATTACAAAATATATACAATATAATTACTAGATATTTACTTTTTTCATTAAATAAATAATATCTATTTAAAATAATGTAATTTTGCTTTTTCTATAAATAAACAAAATATAGATACTCATAATTTTTGTTTTTTTTTTTTTTTCGTAAATACCAGAAATATATTTGTGTTTTATGAACATTAATACACAAAACTTACCTGATACTTGTACAGTTTCATTACTCAAGAAAAAAATGTTTACCAAACTTAAAATAAACTTCACAAATATAAAACTTTACTTCTTATATGCCATCAATCGCAAAAAATGATATTTTGTTACCTCGAGAGTGTATGAATCTAATTATGTATTTAATATTTTAATTTGAAGCATTATATAACTGCTTTAAAAATAAATAATAAATCTTCTTATTAGAATTTTAACTTAAAAAAATGTCAAATAAAAATGAGTTTTATAATCTGTTTTTTAACTACAAAACATAAAAGTTTGTTATATTACTTTTTTTTTTATTATTACTTTAAATATTTTCCATTTATAATAAACTTTGCCAACAACAACCAAAAAAAAAAAAAAAAAAAAATACAATTGCAAAGATCCAAAAACGAAAACATTAAACATCTTTGTCAGGATCAATTAATAAAATTTTTGGGTACACATTTTTAATATTAAATTATTATTTATAAGGAACAATTTAGCTTTAGCATACAATAATCAATGAAATATTAACAATCTTGTCGAAATGATATCTTTATTGTTTCTTCTTGGTATTTTTTCTTACTGGTTAAAAATTAGCTGTGCCCGTGATATTCATCTGTGTGTTAATTTTATTTTAATTATTTCCTTCCCTCATGTGTGAGCTATAACTAACACTGCAATACGGTTAGCCAATACATAATTCGTATTATCAATCACTAATTTACTTGTTAAATATCTAAAAACCATAATTCAATTCGAAGGTAATAGAAATCTACTACCGGAAAATATTATTATATTAAAACCAACCAGTACATAATATCGTGTAGTAGAGACGCCCACGTTTAACAGCAAGGGGTCGTATGCATCATAATGTAGTGATTCAGCAAATCAATTTTATTATTGTTATTATCAATTATTAGTTAAAAAATATATGAAAACAGTCTAATATATTAATAACACAAATTTATGAATACTGTAGAATATAAAAAGCCTCCTCGATATTATAATTTACGATGATGTAAAATTAAATACAAGACTCATATTTAAAATTTTACTCGATACTAATTTCGAGACAAACTCGTGTGTTGTTAAATAATTTTAAAAATAACTGTGGGAGTTACTTGTTTGACATAAAAATCATTACAAATTAGTGAAGTAAAATTATGTACATACATTATTTTTCATGAAACATTTGATCTCTAATTGGATCGATTAAAAAAATGTATTCATTTTAAACACGTATTGTAATGCCATTATATCAATTTCAGTATCAGTTTTACCGATGAATGAAAGTTAAAAAACTCTTTTTTGGCTTACCACATACTCTTAATAGGACCAAAGTCAAATACTGTTAATTGTAAGAATTACCCAATGGGAAATTATTACAAGGAGGCTGTAACCCCTTTGACTACTCCAGTGACACATAAAGTATATTAATAAATCATACAGACCTTTATGACTCTACAACAACTAGCAATTGATTATAACTACTGATTCTCCTATAACTGTCCAGAGCACTTAAGACTATTACTATACATTGAATTATAATGCGTATATAAATATTTTTTTGGAATACAATTGTCTTCACAATTTACCGTCGACGGTTTATTTTGCGCTTTATATATCCATTAACTGAGTTCTCATTACGTCCAAATTCTGTTGTCGTTTGAAAATGGATTTCTCGCTGGAATCTAACGTGTATAAGTGAATCCTCTAAACAATTTCTACGTTGGCATTAAATTTATGGGCCATAAAAAGATTACGCCGAGAACCGCGATCGCCTTACCGTACGTTTGATACGACCGAAAGGTGTTTTAAACGTCTGTCGCCACTCGTCTGTGGTCATATAAAGCACTTGAAATATTCGTTTGCGTATAAGATAAAGATGCGTACAATACGGTGTAATTATTTAAAGAGACAGTATCTCAAGTACTTTTCGTTTTAGACCATTTGTATACTAAACATTTTCAGATAAATTGTTTTCTGTTGAAAAGAACAATACAAAGATCAATTTTCGTTTTTATTTTAAAAAGTTATTCGCTTAAAAGTGTAAGACAAAATTATTGATAACAATAGACCTGTAATGCACACCAACTGCAAGTCATTTAAAGTTAAACCAATCAAGGTTTATTTTTCATAGAATTAATTTCATCAATATTTTCAGAACACGTGATATTTTGCTTGATAAAAATTGCCTTTTATAAATCAGTAGACTGAAATTATAAATGTCAATGGATATAAAGAACATACTGAACACAGTTGATATAATCAAAAGTTAAACATCAAACAGTTTTAGCATAAAGCATTATAATTAATAAAATCCTTTGACTACATTTACACGATTTTATTCTACCTATTTATCATTTACTGTTCATCACTATTGACCCTGTAAAATTGACAATAAGAAGTAATTAGTGTATCCCAGGAATAGAGAGTAATGTTATAATTATCAAGAAATCGAAAATTTATTTTTAAAAAAAATTACTGAAATAAATTACAAGAATACTTAGAAGTTGATATTACAAAATGCATAATTAATACAACTGTGTACTAAAACTGATATTCTCGAGAAAGGGCGTTGGCAATAAATCCTCTCCCGTGAAGAGGATTAATTACACTGCGGATATTCAAAATTTAATGGAATAGCAAAGATGTTTTTTATTTATAACTCTCTCGTGGCAAAATACTAAGTACATCCACTGCATTATCATAACAATAGAGCTACAACATGTATTATTTCGAATATCACTTTTAAAAATCATAGAATTATTTGTCAAAAACGTCAAGAATAAGAAAGAAAAAACCGCAATACTCCAAAATACAATATTACGGGCAATTAAATACATTTTAAAATTTTCAATGTCATATGAGAGTACTGATAAGTATCCGGAATTCTAAATTTTAACACCGTACACCACTAAGGAATGTTGATAGGCTCGAAGTAAATACACGTCGCATTAAATAGTGTTCTTCAAGCGGATTATTGTTAATTTATCGTTTATAAGTAGCAACTTATAATAAATTAAATTAAAATGGGGGCATTTTAGTTTCTATTTAGAAGAAGTGAGAAATTAATGGCTCGGTACTGCTATTTTACAGCAACTACGGACGATCGTAGTTCCTTCTTATTTCTTACTGAATTAACTGATGCAGTTCCATTATAATAAAATAAAACAAAATTGAAAAGGAGAGGTAAAATTAAAAGTACTTTTTGAAATTACAAGCTGTGTTTAAAGTCGACGGGGAAAAAAAATGATCGGGTTGCGAACTCATTTTGTAATGGAACATAAATGGTTATAATAATTATCACGATATTAACATTACTTTAATTTCAATATGGTTTAGGACATGGGTGCGTGTTCACTTAGGTGAAACGAAACCGGAAAGACAACGCAGATTACCAACGATGGACCACATTATAGTTATCTTCGGACACTATTATACGACCACAGCGGCAGCCTACGGCGCTAATGACTCTCGAACACCTCTTCGACTACCTCCCGTGTGGAATGCAATGACCGCCCGCGACTATGTATATATGTGAGTGTTTGTATTTGAGTAGTCCATAACAAAAAAAAAAAATAAATAAAATGATGTGGTTAAACGGTTTAAAATTAGATCGAGTATAAGAGAAAACCTCTCTTTTAATGCGCCTATCTTACCTTCGATGTACAA